GACAGAGAACGGGAAGACCGAGAAAGGGAAGAAAGAGAAAGGGAAGAAAGAGAACGGAAAGAAAGAGAAAGGAAAGAGAACGGAAAGAAAGAGAAAGGAAAGAGAACGGGAAGAAAGAGAACGGGAAGAAAGAGGACGTGAAGAAAGAGAAAGCAGGCGAGAGAGAGAGAGAGAGAAAGAATGGGAAAAGAAGCATATTGAATAAATACATACATAGATACCTATCTACATACATAACTACATACCTACATACCTACATACCTACATACCTACATACCTACAAACCAGATACATGCATACATACATACATGCATACAAACATAGACAGACAGACAGACAGATAGATCGATGGATAGATAGATAGATAGATAGATAGAGAGAGAGAGAGAGAGAGAGAGAGACGGAGCGAGGCAGGCAGGCAGGCAGGCATGCAGACAGACAGACAGACAGACAGACAGACAGACAGACAGACAGACAGACAGACAGCCAGACAGCCAGACAGACAGCTAGCTAGATAGATAGCTAGCAAGCTAGATAGACAGATAGATAGATAGACAGACAAATACATTAACAACACATGTGAATAACTCAAACGAAGGTTTAGGTTGGCGGAAGAGAACTGGGCTTGGGATGCATTTCTAGGCCATACGGGTTCGAGCTTTGTTTGACGCCGATCCGATTCCAGATCGAGACCGCCGCAAAAAGCTGCCAGCGGCCATGCAAAGGCTTGTCTTTCTCTCTCTTCTTCTTTCTCTTTCTCTTTGTCTTTCTCATTTCGTTTCTTTTTTTCTTTCTCTTTCTTTCTCTTTCTCTTTTTGCTGTTTTCCGTTGTCTTTCTGCAATGGTATGCATTCTTAGAGAGAGCTAGCTCAATCAATTAGTTCCATTGCTATGGAATGGAAGCTCCTGCTAAGCTTCCTTCGATTCTGTGCTTGTTTATATACATACAGTATATATATATATATCTGTTTATCTGACTTAGTTGCTTGTTTATTTCGGAGCGGCATCGAAGGGCCGCGCTTCCAGCGTCCGATCGAAGCTCAGGACGAGAGGGCCTACAAGGCGCGAGCCTTCGAGGTTCCGGGTATCCACGTGGCTCACAGCAAGCTACACTGCAGCGGTGTGGTATATATCGACTGGCCGGGGAAGGAGAAAAAATTGGAACAAAAAGTCAAAGACACCAAAGAGCTCACTTCCTGCATTGCACTGTACAGTTTTTGGAAGGCCATTTTGGTGCACATTATATACACATTATATACCTATGTTGAGAAACACTTAAATGGTCCATGGCTTCAGTACATTCCAATGGAGATCCCTGAATTTCTTTCTGGTTGTGGGTCTCCCAAGTGGCAGCAGCATTGGAAGGCCACAAGGGGACACCCAGAAACTCTTGTAGACATCCAGCGATGTGATTGAAATGAGGGACCCGCCCCCACAAGCAGTTCCTTTGCTAGATGGTTTAGGTTCCATGGAACAATGTAGGCATACTCGAAGCATCCAGTCGAAGCTGACATCAACTGGTTGGATTTTGGTGTCTTAGATAGGGAACCCATAAAATGGGCGGGTTTGTTCTTTATATTTCCTTAACACGGCCCAACAAGAGCACCCTCAACAAAAGACACACCCGTTGGTGAAAGTGAGCTTGGCAAGTTCAGACACTGCGTTGTGTGGGAGTGTTAGCCAGCAATGGGATCAGTCCTGACAGGAGCCGGATGCCAACCAAATGTCTCGGGGACTGGTACGAGTCATCAACCCCTCACTGTAGATTTTCAATGAACGTGTTCCTACCAACATTCTTGAGTTTGGACCATGGTACCGACCACGAGCCTTCCGCGGCTTGTCTTCCAGGGCTGCCAGGCGAACGAACTGCCATCCCAAAACCCAAACATGGAATTTGAACGAGTCCTGGAGGGAAAATGCTTTCCGGCTCCATGTTGCTTTTTGGGCTCTCTCCCTCTCTCTCTGTTTCTCTCTTCCAGGGGAAGTTGTTTAGAGTCAAGCCCTTTGCCCGGGGGTTGGCATGGAACGAGCTTCCAGGCCTCTGAAGCCCCCGCGTCGGGCCCGGCTCTGTGGCTTGAAACCGGCTGAGCAATTGACCAGAAATTCTGGTGCGCGCCTGGCAAAAACGCCCTGGCTTGGGGTTCGCGCCTGGCCAAACCTGGTTCTTGGGGTGCGCTCCTCCCAAATTTTTGCTCGCCCGCCCGCAGCCCGCGTCCCGCAGGCGCAGTTCCACCGCTTGGACAAGGCGGCCAATGGGCGACTGGAGCAGGAAGATTTGCTGGCGGCGCCTCGGAAGAGCTGTCGGTTGGCTGGCTGGCGGCTTGGTTGGTGGCCAAGCCGAGTCTAGTCTGGTTTAGTTTGCTGAGTTTGCTTGGCAGTTTGTTTGTCCGACTGGCTGGATGTTTGTTTGTCGTCTTCAAATAAAATTAAAAAAAATAAATATATTATTAGACTAAAAAACAGACACACCCAGCTCAAATCCTTCTCAAGGCTGGACGATTTTAGATTACACTTCGGGTTTGGGCAGACTCTCAGACGCAAGACTAAATGTAGGGAGAGCCTTGTCAAGATGAGCTTCCTTTATGCACCCGCATGTTTGTGCGTCAATCGTACTGGGGTCATTAGTTTGACGGTGTTGAGGGTTTTCAAAGTGACACTGTGGTTGTTTCCGACAAAACAATGGGATCAGCTCAAGCAGTGCGAGCTGTCCCACTGGGCAAGGCCCGGATCGCTTTCGGCTGAAACTTCCTTTCTTAATTCTTTTTTCCGGGCGGCGAAACATGTCTGCCAGACGTGTTTATTTTTAGTTTTTGTTTGTGTAAACGGTAAATACATTGTCCGCCCGCGTTCGCTTGCAAAAAGGAGGATGACGGGGCAGTTAGCCGCTCGAGTCATTGAAGCCGCCCACAGCAACGGACCTGCCAACGGATGTCGAATATTAAGTGACCTCCTGTCTATTTAAGGGGCCATTTGACGGGGGGCCTTGGTCATGAAGCATGTTTCAATAAGATGGCGCTCTTTGTGGCACTGGCTCCATCGGGATGTAGCGTCAGCTGTTCATGGAGGTTGAAGGACCGCTCGTTTGGAGCTCCTTCTCACAAAGCATGCGGAGGATTTTCGCCGGAAGAAGCGCATTGTTGCGCTAAGCTGCACTCCAGTCCATGGCCCGGCGGTTGCAATGTGGCAAAGTTGGGGAGCACGAAAGGTTCTCAGCTTGCGGCTTTGCCAGGAAGCGCCCAGTTTTGTCTTTTTTTCTTTTTTTTGCCGCTCGCTTTCCTTTGGCCTTGAACTGGTGATGTTTTGCTTCTCGTCGCACCGTTTTGAGTCCGGATGCCCTTGGCAACTCATGCGCTTATGCAGAACATAGGCTCAGATGCACCTTCCTCAGGTCGCCAAGTGGACTTCTGAAGCTTTTTTGCCGGTGCGATAGGCAGGGAATGAGGGAATGACACTTATAAGTCATCCAACTGGTGGTTTCCTTTAAGGGGAGCCCTGGGTTCATTCCCACTCCCTACTTCTCGCAAGCTCTAAACACCCGGAACATCCGTAAACGCCGACCTATCCACACGGACGAAGGAAGCTGGGTTTCCGGGGCCGAAGGCCCCGAGGCCCCGAAGCCGAAGTTGAGGTGATGCAGACCTTCAGCCACGGCTGGGAGCTGGAGAACGTGGAGGATCTCCTGAAGCAAGTGAACCAGCCCCGCGCAAGAGAACGCAGCTTTTTTTAGGCTTTGGGGGGTGGGGTGGGGGCTCAAGCTGCCAAGCCGCCCGGCAGCCCGCCAATCAACCAATCGATCAACCCACCAACTTCTCCCAGTGTTTGGCTGACGTTGGCTTTCTTTCTGGGGGCCGACTTGAGGCACAGAGAAATGAAGGCTTTGCTTCGAATCCAATGAAGCTGGCTTGCTTCATTTGCGGGGCCCCGCTCCGTTCCGTACCAGTAGCTTTGATGAAGGCTATGCTCAATGCATCCTTTTCTGTTAGGGTCATATTGGCAAGTGCCCACTTCTTCACGTGGAGTGATTCTCTCGGGTGTTTTATTCGCCATAGTTGCCATTGATTAATGCTGCGCTTTTGGGGTCGCTCTGTTCAGTGGTCGACGAGTGAAAGGTGAATTCAGACAGATGCTCTTCAGTTGATTCCGAGACAGAAGTGAGCCACTGGCAGTTTGGTCAAGCTGTCGCAAAGCCCCCAGAACGACCCCCTTAAAACTAACATCAACCAGTCAAACCAATCAGCCCTTGCTCGAATCCTTTTGAAGTGATCAAAACATAACACGAGAGGGCACAACGTCTCCCAGGAAGACGCCGTGCATGCCAGTACTGCGCGGTCAACAAGCTCCACCGGCCACAAACAATTCGGTCGAAGGACACATGGCTGTCCGGCCCGATATGAGAAGAAACATAGGTGTCCTTTTTAGGTGAGTTTGGTTAAAAATAGATGGGTTCCACTGGTTTAGCTGGGGTTTATTCCATTTACCAGGGCCATCTATTTTTCCAAAAGGCCACCTGTGACCAGAAAAGGCTTCCTCGCTTGCCAATCCACTGAAAGTCTTGGCGAGCAACAGGCCATGGTGCGGCTAGTTTCAGGGGGCCTGGGCTCGAAGGTTTCCGGGAGGTGGGCAACACCGCCAAAATGGGCCAAGTTGGGGGCTCCTTAAAGGATACATGTTGCAACCGTTTGAATCATGGCGTTTTCCACCAGAATAAAGGGAAACCGCCATTTACAAGGACATGTTCAGGTGTATAATGTAAGGTTTTATTGTTGGACTTCTTAGCCCGAGGCTGACCGGTGGCCATACCAGCCCTGGAGGGCATGGCCATAGCCGAAGCAACTTGAGGAGCGCGGAGGTTTGGTCGGACGAAATCCAGCAGTTGGAATTGGCTTCAACACGCGAGTTGATTTTGTCCATCTGACTTCTTCAAATGGGGTCTGGAGTGTGACCAAATGAAGTCACAAAGACCAAGCTGCGAGCAATTCTTCCCGCGCTCTCTTTGCGGGGCTGGGGGCTGGGTGGGGGGGTGGGGGGGGGCTATTGCAGATTGCATCACGCTTACCTGCCCAGGGGGTCTGCAGCCGGATACGGCGGGGTTGAGCATTCTGTGTGTTTTTTTCCACAACCAGACTCTGGTTCCCTTCAGGGAAGGGTCGCTGCACTGGAGCAAAGTTTGTTCGATGCACTTTAGAGGGAAAAAGAGAAAGGAGGTTGCATGGTTGGCCGGACTCCTTGGCAAGCAGACCTACAAAAGGTTAGGCCTTTTGCGAGTCACAGCCAATCAGGGGGTTTCCCCTTGTGTTGTCCTCATCAGTCCGAGGTGCAAACCCTCCGCGTTGCTAGGGATGCCATATGCCACAAATTGTCCCATGAAGGTCTCCTAGTGTATCCCTGAACAGGGGTCGCAAGGCGAAGTTTCTTGGTTCATGAGTTGGTAGTATGGCTACGTGGTAAGCAGTTCTGTTGGCTCTCTGAAGGCGGCCCACTTTCACTTCTCCCGCCTAGCCTGGGTATTTTCAGGCCGAAATGATTGGAATTGGGTTGGGTACTTGAAAACCATCTTTAGTCAACATCAAAAGATACATGTGTGTTGTTTTTAGCCCCTCTTCATAGCCGCCTAGGCTATGTGTAAACGGAATCCACAAGGAATCCCTAAAAAGGTGGTCAAGTCAGGTGATTTGTAAACCCTGAGTTGCCCAGTTCCCCTGTGAACCCTAGACTCTAGTGGATCTATTTACCGGTTTTGGCCTCAGCAACCAAGGAACCTTTCAAAGCTAGAAGGACCATGGCGCAAGGGGGTGCTTACAATTTAGCTCGACCTAGACTCCCCATTTCGACATGGGTTCATTGTTTTTCTCTTTAAAACACAGAACAAATCAGAGGAAGCCGTTCTTAGCCTGGCCACGGAACGATGCCCCATGGCCTTCCCGGGAAAGTCGGCCGAGGACTCCCCACGAGTCCATCGACTTGGACGGCTTCGTGGCGGGGGGTCGCATTCGGTGTCGGCCGGGAAAATCCGAAAAGGAGAGCTTCGGAGATTCGACAAAGGCGAGCCCCTGGAGTTCTGTTACTGTGGGTGTTGGGGACACCAGTTTCTTAAGTTACCAGGCGTGGATTCTCCCAAGGTTTTCCTTGGTTTTGCAGGTGTCCCTTTCGAAACCAGGAACACGGATCGAAGGGTTGCCTACGAAAGGTGGCGAAACGCCAGGCGGCGGAAGCGGCATGCTGTCAGGTCGGCGAACCGAATGTGAGGGATTTCTCAACATTTGGGTATGGGTCAAAATGCCACCGCCAGGATATGGACCACAGGTTTTAGTCTGTGTTTCCATTTGCCAGGGATCCCTTCTTTTGGGTACCCTTTTCTGGACCCACAGCCATGTCGCCGCCCCGACCATGGGATTTCCGGAAGACAAGACCAACCAAACGGGGGCGGAAACAAACATGCGGAACTCCCAATGGACCAACCCCTTGAAAGGGAGATCAACATGCGAAGCTGGGAGGGAATCCATACGGAGATGAAGTGAGTGTCATCTACTTTCGCCTGTAATTCTGCCCAAGCACAACCATTCTAGGGGAGGCCGGGCCCCGGTTTTCCCCTTCCCAGATATCCGAGCAAGTCCACATGAGTTACAATCAAAACCCGGGTAGATGAAGGCTAGCAAGGGACGGTCCCCAACCATAAATAGCTGCGGCCGCCTTCTTAATTCTTTACATGGTTCTGAGCGCACCATTTTTGTACCGGGTTTTGATTACGACTCGCGTCTTCTATCCTTTGGGATCCCATGGTTCGTTGCTTTGATTGCAGGCGCTGATGTCCAGTGAGGAGTTGATCAGCGGCAAAGACATGCGACTTGGTTCACTGGGGCCTGCGTTCGCCGTGCGTTCCTTGGAAGTAGAAGGACAGACTCCAGTGGAGAGCATGTCTTTTCTCTGGCGTTTCCTGTCTGAACCCCACAGCCGAAAGCGGGTCTTTGCCCAGAGCAGATTTTGTAGCGGTTCGGAGCCGCTTCGTTGTGCTGGGCTCGTTTTTGTGGGAGGCAGGTCTTTGCTTCCATCTTGGGCGCCAGTATTTTCAGGGACAGCCACAGATGTTTGGAGCAGCTTCTGCAAACCAGTTGGGCTTGGTCTTTGGCCTCAAGGTATCCTTTCTCGCTCATTGCGGTGGGTTTCCCGCTGGTTTCTCCGGGCATGCGCGGTAGATTTTGGGAAATCGATTTTCTGGAGCCGGACCCAGACTGATCCAGATCAAGCTGCCCGGGGGGTCGACCGGGTTGTGTATTCAAAAGGAAGCCAAAGGGAAACCATAGAGACCCTCAAAAAGACCGACCCATAGAGGGCCCCCCTTTGGACTATTGACCCTTCTGAGCACCGATCCCTGAGCCCGGACTCAGAAGCTCAGAAGCCACCGGGTCTCTCCAGGGCCCCAAATGCCAAAATTTCCGTTGCGCGGGGCTTGCCATTTTGGGACTTCACATGGCCCCGTGGACTCCCAACATGGTGGTTTTTTTTGTTTCTCCCCCGAAAGCAAGGAAGAGCAGCACGAAGCGGGACACCAAGTTCTTGCGGGAGGCGTTGCAGGCGCCGGCACGCGGTTCACGCGGTTCGCGGCACGGGAGGGGCTGGCGCCGGAACAAGGACCCAGGTGATTCTAATGCGAACGAGGAATTTGTCAATCATGATTTCCTGCCACTTTGGGTGACCTTGATGATGGTGGCGGCAAGGGGCCAGCCAATATCATTCCCGTTCGCGCCCAGGTGTGTGCGTGTGTCTGTGTGTGCGTGTGCGTGTGCGTGTGTGTGCGTGCGCGTGTCTGTGTGTCTGTGTGTGTCTGTGTGTGTGTGTGTGTGCGGAGTGGCAGAATACCCTGCCACCATTTTTTTTTTCTTCAGCAGGGGGCGCAGGGAGTTTCAGCGAGTCCTGCGCCAACGAAGACGCTCGCTGTTAACTCGTGATATCCAGCCTGATCAGCTGGACGTACCTGCAATTGTGATGTTTGTGAATGTCCTTTTGGTCCCCTCCCTGAACCGCCGTTGCCTCTGTGTGTCCCTGTTAAAGTAGCTACAGGGAAGCCAAGTGTATTGCGAGCCGAAACTTATCGTACTCGAGACTTATCAGTTGTACTCGAGACTCATCAGTTGTACTCGAGACTCATCAGTTGTACTCGAATGATTAGCACCCTCCCTTGGGAGTTGAAGTGTGATCACCCCATCTTGGGGGAACCTCGGGTGTACCCATCGTGTGACCCCGGGCCGGTTCGCCGGAAAATTTGACCCAACGTTCTTATCACAGCTCAGCGGAATTTCACGTTTAAGCAGGAACGAGGTTTCTCTAAAGGGAAGACAGCCGTCAGATCATAGCTAAGTCTCACCCTTCTTTCTTCTCGCCTTCGTCTTCCGCGTGCCCGTCTTCTGCTTCTTCGCCCGCCTAGGGATGGCTTCTCCTTCCTCCCGTTCTCTTCTTGCTGCCTTTCGTGACCCGCGCGTTCGTCCTCCTCCTCTTCGCCCGCTTAGGCATGGCATGGTTGTCCTCGCGTTGTTCACCTTTTTCCTCGTCTTCGTCTTCTTGTCCGTCTACCTGTTCCTGCTCCTCTTCTTCCTCACGTAGTTTGGCTTGACGTCTTCTTCCCCTTCCGTTGCTATTTCGTGTCCGTCCTCTTGGCCCCCGTGTGGGATTCGACGTCTTCCTCCTCGAGCCTTGGTCTTCATCCTCTGTTCCTGTCTGGGCGGGATGCGTCGCCCTAAAAACGCATACTACATCTCTCTTCCTCTTCCTTCTTCCTTCTTCCTTCTTCCTTCTTCCTTCTTTCTCCTTTTGTCTCCTTGTCTTCTGCTTCTTTTCTTTGCTTTTCCTTTTTCTCCTTTCTCCTCTTCCCGGGCGGGCTGCGGCGCCCTAAATACGCATCTCGCTCCCTTTGTCTTCTTTTCTCTCCTTCTTCTTCTTCTCTTTCCCTTTCTTTCCTTTCTCCTTCCCCCGGGCGGGCTGCGGCGCCCTAAATACGCATCTCGCCCCCTTTTTCTCTTCTTGTTCTCTCTTTCTCGCTCTCTCTTTCTTTCTTTCCCTCTTTTCTCCTCCCTCTTTTCCAACTACTTCCTGTTGTTCCTCTTCGCCCGTTTAGGGATGGCGTGTTCGTGGTGTCGTTCTTCAACTTTGCGGTGCTCTTCTTCTACCAGGTTTAGGAGGGTTTCTAGGCTGTTTGGGGTTCTTTGCCCTCGGCGGTGACCCTAAACTCGGGTTCCCCTGTTTTTCGTGTTTCTTGGTTGGGTTTTGCCCGCGGAGACCCAACATGGGGCCTTTCTGTTTCCTTTGTTTTCCTGCTCTGCTTGTTTTCTGTTGGGGTCTTCGCCCGGTTTTGGGGCGCGTGTTTCCCCCCCGAAAAAGTGGTTCTCGCCCCTCTTTGAGGGGCGTGTGTGTGTGCGGAGTGGCAGAATACCCTGCCACCAAAACTTTTTTCTTCAGCAGGGGGCGCAGGGAGTTTCAGCGAGTCCTGCGCCAACGAAGACGCTCGCTGTTAACTCGGGATATCCAGCCTGATCAGCTGGACGTACCTGCAATTGTGATGTTTGTGAATGTCCTTTTGGTCCCCTCCCTGAACCGCCGTTGCTTCTGTGTGTCCCTGTTAAAGTAGCTACAGGGAAGCCAAGTGTATTGCGAGCCGAAACTTGTCGTACTCGAGACTTATCAGTTGTACTCGAGACTCATCAGTTGTACTCGAGACTCATCAGTTGTACTCGAATGATTAGCACCCTTCCTTGGGAGTTGAAGTGTGTGTGTGTGTGTGCGTGTGTGTGTGTGTGTGTGTGGGTGGGTGCGTGCGTGCGTGCGTGCGTGCGTGCGTGCGCGTGTCTGTGTGTCTGTGTGTCTGTGTGTCTGCGTGTCTGCGTGTCTGGGTGTCTGTGTGTCTGTGTGTCTGTGTGTCTCTGTGTGTCTGTGTGTCTGTGTGTGTGTGTGTGTGTGTGTGTGCGTGGGTGGGTGGGTTGGCTTGGTTGAAGGTTGATACAAGGGACATTCAAGGGGACACATCCATTTTGGAAGGTACCGGCATTTTGACAGATTCTGAAAGTTAGTTTAGGGCGTCCGGTGTTCCTTGGCTTGAAGCCAACCTGGCCAGAACCTTTGACGATGTCACCGCGCAATAATTTTCCCCAGGACACGTGTGTACACGCTGTCGAGGAAGCTGACATTTTGTTAATGTTGAAACGCATGTGGAAACATGAACTGTGTTTGCAATGCTTGACCATAATGGCGCATGCCATTTTAGCTCAAGCTTTGCCCTGGGTTCTTTGAACCCAATTTGTGTGAAAAAGATTTGAGTTTGAACACCCCCGAACTAACCCCGATCAAGCAATGGCTTCCTCGGCAACCTCGGCAACCTCCTTCGAGCTGATTGAGGACCAGACGCTCACCGCGGAGGAGGTGGAAATGGCCAGCCAGGAGGCCCAGGAAATTCGCACACGCGAGGCGGCAGTGGCGGCCGGTTTGGTGTTGGACGAGCCCGAGGCCCCCCCATCGGCTTCGGCTACCGACGTGATGAACGACCTCTCCAGTGCACTGGAGCGTCTCCGTGTGGCGTTTGCCACACCGACTTCCGGCTTGGGTGCCCCTGGCCCCGCCGAGGAGGAGGACAAGGACATGGAAGATGCGGACGCCACGGAGCGGGCTACTCCACTGGAAGAGGCACAGACACCACCCACGAAGAGGCTGAAGGGTTTCGTGGCGGCTTCCCAGAAGACCACGGCTCATGTGAACAAACCGGTCTCCCTGGTGCCGGTGGAGGGCCGTCCCGGCTACTTCAAGTTAGTGGACCTCCCAGACCTTTTCCCGGTCCTTCCGGCATCGGCGGCCACGTTGCTGAGGGACGTCGCGGTGGAGGAGGCGGTCTCCCTGTTCCACAAGTTTGTCGGGAAGAATCTCACGGAGGACTTGGTGATTCGTATCCTGGAGGCCTATGTTCCGATGAAGATCCAGATCCGGCAGGAGGAGGTCTGGGCCCCACAGTTCCAGAGGAACAAGGCGTGCATTGGCACCCAGCGGATGCACAGACTCGATGCAGGCCACTCAGATTACAAGTTCATGTGCAAAGCATGCGGCACGGGGTGGCCGGAGGCAGCCAAGCAGTGCTGGGTCTGCCCAAGGAGTTCGTCCCCTTCCAGGCACCCTCGGCTACCTATGAGGCGGACGGCATCACTTACAACCTGCTCATTGTGGAGGGCAAGCCGACCTGGATCCAGGAAGCCTGGGTGCCGCTGGCCCCGGTGGTACCCGGGCACAGGCGGACCGCAACCTGGTGGATGGCACGGTCCTGGGGAGAGCTCCTCCGAAAACGGACACGGCAGAGGAGATCACCATGGCAGACGTGGTCCCGCTCAACAGGCGGGTGGACATCCGGCAGGAGATCCTGTCCATGGAGGCGGACGACGAGGCGTTGAAGGTCCGGGAATGCGCAGCGGTCCCTGAAGGAGGCGGAGGCTCAGAGCTTCCAGCTCTACCACCCCCAGGTGGACCAGGCGATCCGGAAGAAGGAGGAGCTGCATAAGGCCTTGAGGGAGCATCGGGAACCGACCCGGAAAATTCCTCGACCAGGCGGCGGCACAAGGAGTTGGTCACGGAGGAGATGCTGGACAATGAGATGGCTATCCTGGCGCCTCTCCAGGAGGGCATGCAGGCCCTGCCGTCAGAGGAGGTGGCCAATGAGGGAGCCCGTGCCCTCAGGAAGGTCAACCTGGAGCGATTCAAGGCCAAGCTGCGAGACCAGTACCTGGAGGGGAAGGGCGTCGATGCCAGCCAGGCACTGGCTGAGGCGATGGGCTCCATTCAGGAGGCTCAGGAGGCGAACAAGCGCACCCAGGACACCAACCAGGCATGGGCAACGCCGGCCAGTCCAGAATCCACCTGCTGAATGTCGAAGGCACGGCTGTGGGGTGTGGTTGGCGACCGGCGGCTTCTAAGATCCAGGAGCTCTCGGTGCTGGACTACATGACGGAGCAGGAGGCCTATGGCAAGTGCGAACGTTGCTTCAAGAGGTATGGCTTCCCGGCGGACTGGAACCTGCGGAGGTCCCCACACTGCAGGAGGACTCGGACTCCTCGGCGGACTCGGGCTCTGAAACGGATGGCTCGGTGGACACCCAGTCGGAGACCGAGGTGGTGGCCCTACCGTTGGCAGCCTAGGTGCCCCTGGCGACCAAGGGGATGGGAGGCCCGGAGCAGGGCCCTGGCCAGGGCCCTCAGCACAGACTGGCATCCTTCGGAAATGGCGGGTGTGCCAGACTGTCCTTCGGAAATGGCGCCATCAGTTTGCACACCCGTTCTTCAGTTTTTGAGATTGTGAGTTGGGTGGCCCATGGGGCCCACCCAGCCTTTGACATCTGACAGGGGAAGATGAGTCCCTGGCACCAACACACTGCTCGGATAAAAGAGTTATCGCGTGCTTGTGTGTGGTGCCGTTTGGTTAGCTTGCATACACTTTGTTAATGTTGAAACGCATGTGGAAACATGAACTGTGTTTGCAATGCTTGACCATAATGGCGCATGCCATTTTGGCTCAAGCTTTGCCCTGGGTTCTTTGAACCCAATTTGTGT